TTTTTTTTTTTTGTTTTTTATACGTTGCACATTAATGTAAAAAATTTACAATTAAAGCCCATAACAAGACGGAAGAAATACATTTTTTTCATTAAGTTTCGTTAAAAGGTTTCCAAGATACAGCACTTTAAAGAAAGGTATGTATGACGTTTTGTCGGCCGCTGTGGTGTAGTGGTAAGCAGTGCGCGCTTCCACTCCGCAACGCCTGGGTCCAAGCCCTGGTCAACGCAACATGGCAAAAAAATATAGAAAAAGGTTTTTTCTTAACAGTGGTCGTCCCTCGGTAGGCAATGGCAAACCTCCGAGTGTATTTCTGCCATGAAAAACAGCTTCTCATAAAAATACAATCGCCGTTCGGAGTCGGCGTAAAACTGTAGGTCCCTCCGGTTTGTGTGACAACTTCCAGGCGCACGCCACAAATCGGAGGAGAAGGAGAAGCTCGGCCAAACACTAACATATGTGTAAGCGCCAATCTATTATATTATTATTATGTATGACGTTTTCTTAAAATTTAAGTCCCGTGTAAATAGACAACCCTACGTCATATCGGCAAAATATGCTGCACGTATATTCATGTCACCTAGACCTTCAATCTCTTCAACTTTCATCCAAATCCTGAGATGTCGCGCACAGAGGTGGGCGCGGTGACATGAAATGCCTTATAGTACAGTTCAATATCAGTGCTGTTCAAAAAAACTGTATTGAACTGTACTATGGATTGGATAACATAGTACTGTTCAATATACAATTCAGCGCTGTTCAAAAACCCTAAATGCATTTAGTTTAATAATTTAGTTTGTTAATGCTTCTCCGTTGTTAGCTCCCAAATACAAAAGGAGACATCATTTTTTTTTTAACTTAATTTCTTTAACTTTTTTTATTCTCATCTTCTCACTTGGCCCCTGTAGATAATTTCAGGAGTTAAAAGCCCTTCCCAAGGGCCTTCCTGAAAGTAAAGGGGCTTTAAACTGTTCAGCCATGCATGGGCTTTTAGAATGGCTGAACTTAAGAAGGCATTCCTAAGTTGTTTTCTGGGGCGTTTAATATATTTATTGGGTTTGAATTTTTTCTAACAATCAGTATGTAGATAACTAAAAAACGTTTTCTTTCTCTATTACAGCCTACAATTTGACCCAGCACCTCGTCGTGGTGAACCTCACGTTACACGAAGAACACCAGATTATTTCCTATAAGAGAATTCTTCACACATTTACATATATTATACAAACATTTATATAAATGCAAAAAACAACAGAAAAACAACAAATACAAAATTATTTATATAAATTAAACTCCAACCATACGAAATGATGGAAACAATAAAAACTAAGTAAAGTGACTGTAGTTGAAGTGAAAGGATATAACTGGAAAGTATAACACCACAGCTATCAGCAACGATAAATATTTGCTTGCCGAAATAGGAGCGGCACTAACAAGATATCTTGTAATATAACATCAGATTAAAAAAAAAAAACATAGAAGTATGTTTATTTACTGGCTTTAGTTATGGCTTGCAAAAGGCAGTCAAATACGAGAAAATTTGTTAAGGGCAAATCTAAAGGACAGCATACATAGTCCACTCTTTAGTTAAATTTATAAAAGATCCGCTGGTACAGACTCACACCCAATTATCAATTAACCATAACAACTAACGCGACGTGATCAGCGCTAAAGAGAGGCACGCGGAGGATAAAAAAATAAATTTAATCAAATATTCATACAAAAAACCGATAATACACATAGAATACAACAATTAATAACATAAATTATAATTTATTACAAAAAGTTAAATTAAAATTTGTAAGATTGAGATAACTTCTAGATATCACAACTAGACATAGCCTTGACGCCCATTTAACTTGTTCAAGGGTAAATAGGATCGTTACATTTAAAAAAATCAACAAATGCTAGCAAAAAAATCTATGCATCTTTAAAAAATTAGCTAAAACATAGCGAGGTGGCGTGGGCTTGCAATCTACAATACAATCGGAACTGGAACAGAACTGACTAGCGAACGCAAGATAAACGACAAAGAGTTTGTAGCGTGTAGGGCTTTACACAAAACACAGATGCATATAAACAAAAACTTAAAAGTAAATTAAAATTAAAAAAATACATATAAATAATGAAAACTGAGAATGAAACAAAACACAACAAAGGAAAAATAATATTTAAGTCGCTAAATTGTGAAAAAATGCAATTTATTATAATTAATATTTTATTGCTAAACCGAAAACTAAAAATAAAAATGTATTATAAAAACAATTGGAAACCCATATTTTAACTAATGAGTGTAGTGTCTGACCGAACAGTTCAATTATTGTTGCTCCAGCAGGAAATAGTCTACAAACCGACTGGTTTTTGGATCTATGCTCAGATGAGGTTCCATTGCTTAAACTTGATTATATAGAGTATGATGTTTTATGATAAACCTCGCTGCTAAATGGTACGTTTTGTCTCTTTCAAGAAATTATGACCCATTTCTGTTTCATTTGGTAAAAATTCATAGTTTTGCTAGTGGTTTCTTCATTAGGTCAAGGTTTGAGAAGGTTGGAATTCACTCGGAAGTGAATCTCAGAACCTGCCTGAAAATACAGGGTTTTGGAGCAGTCATTTCTGATCTTTAACGACTAAATGGTTCTCTGCAGCATTAATTAGCAGTTAATCTTCTTCATTGGCACTGCAACCGCACATGCGGTTTTGATAGATTTTCCAATAAAGCACGCTAAGCGTTTCTCTTTTGTGCCAACTGACGCCAATTAGAAATTCCAAAATGAAGCCAAGTCCTTTTTCATCTGGACTTCTCAACGCGGAGGCCTCCTCTTCCTCCTTTACCCGCATCGCGACGCTCTTAGAATACTTTCACGAGCTCTGGAGCGTTTCTGTCCAATCGTACGACATGAATAAGCCAGCTTAGCCTATGTCTATATTAGGGATGTTTCGAATGTCAAATTTTTCACATTCGCGAATGCGAATTTTAGGAACGCGAATGCGAATGTTAGGAATAACATTAAAAAAGCTATAATCCACTTAAGTCATCGTTTTTATTACTTAAAAATTTTGTAAATTAGTAGAACATCGAACGAGTAGTCAAAGTTCAAAAGGGGCGTATTATATTTCAAAAAAAGTAATTTTGCTGCCCTTTCTCCCATGAGGCGATTTCCACTTAACCGTATATACAGCAGCTGCACTGAGCAATTGCTCACTTGGAACGCTGGCGGGTGGAGCACTCAAATATTTTCAATTTGTCGTATTATAGTTTAGTTTTCCACCAATCGAGAGGATTTTCACCGAGATGAGCTCGTTTTTTCTTTAAAATAGGCCTTCAATTGAGCTTTAGTTTTACATTTTTCTCCAGATGCTACACCCGGGCCTTCGCTTTCGCTGGTAGATTCTAAAATTATTTCTAGGTTGCTTATAAGACTTTTAGCAGTACTTGTTGAAGACTGATCAATTTGCTTGATATACTACTTAAGTGTATTATTTCAATTTAAATATAAATTACAAATTGTAAAATTAATTTTATATATGGAAAAACCTAAATACTCAAATACCATAAAAACTAAATTAGATAATTTTTTTAAATACAATTTAAAAAATAACAATTAAAAAAAAAACAAATTCCTGCTCTGGGACTCGAACCTTGCTTCTCTCGACTAGCACAGGGGATGAAATGGCAAGTAAATATTTCCTAAAAACTAAGGAATTGTGTTTTCCTTAAACTGAGTCAAATCGTTTACTTATATTAAGGCAGCCATGTCATTGGAGCCATTTCAAGGTAATATTTCCTTAGAATAATATACTTTTTTCCTAGCTTCAAGGAATGTTTTTCTGATTGTACTTGCCAAATTTCAAGCAAATCGGACCATGACTAAGATTTTTTCGAATAGATCGGTCCCTGGTCTATCTACCGGAAAAGGTAAATTTTTTAGCCCTTCGCATGGTGGCGGCTGGAAGCTATTTATATACAAAATCGAGTCAATACACTTTTGAATTTCTGAACGTATCGAAAGTTGGTTTATGCTTCCGTTTTGAATCACAGCGAACTGGGTCAAAGCGCTTCATGCGTTGGTATAAACAAGGTATATATTTAATATGTCGCTGGCTTAAAGTGAAAAGTTGCTAAGTCCATTTTTACAAATTTTACAGGAACTTTGAATACAACATTTTGCGTGTTTAAAGCAAAGCAAAACTCCATACGATTAAGAAGGATTCGATCGTTATTAAAAGAGTTCGTATTACTTCGTGTAAAAACCTGTAAAACTGTCAAATAACAAAATTACTCTCTTGAAAGAGAGGAGCGAAACAATAAAGGTCACCTGGAACGCGAAAACCCACTTTTCCAGTAACTACTTCGATTTTTTTTAATGTAAAGTGCCATGGAGACGATCAAATATCTTAATCAACAGTCTCGCGTTATGCTTGACAAAAAACAAGCGCACTTGCCTTCTGATCGTCGTGGTGAGCAAGTGCGCGGACAAGAAAAATTAATTGTTTGTTTAATTGACGAATTTATTTGAACGTTTGCGGGCCAATCTCATACATATGCAATGCTTGACGTATTTATTTGATTGTCTCGGTGACGCTTAAGGTTCTGTTTTTGTTTACAAATGCAACCCTACCTATCGTTTTAAACTTTTCATGAACCTGCAGGAAGAAAAACTTCGGACTAAAACCTGCAAATTCTGACAGAGAGAGAGCAAGTTACTCTCACAAAAGTGGTTTGACTTACAGGTTGTTTGGCACCTGAAACGCTTTCCTGCAAAAAAAACCTGCAAACCGTGAATATCGTGAGCACCTGGAACGCAACTAATGCTGTCAAGACAATGAAGATATACGTATTAGTTGTTAAAATTGTTCCAATGGAAAAGTATGCATGTATTAGTGAAAAAATGTGCATGTATTGCTGTTGTCATGACAGTATTGTCCGGTGTAAACCCTAAGTTAAGCGTGCGCTTACGCATCCATCGTAGTTTCCTAAGTAAAAACACTATCAGCTGATTGTCAAAAAATGTCTACAGCTGAGATCGCCTGCTTTTTGGCATTTGCTCTTGTCTTTTACAGATTCTTTCATTTCTATTACAATTTATTCAAAATATACTAACACACTGAAACAAAAACATCAATCCACTAACCAAGAACACCTACAGCCTGCCAGAAAAAATGGTGAGAAGAAGAGTTACGTTACTTATGGAACTGTACGACCCAACAAACATCAACAAAACATTTCTCCAACCTTGGAGAAATTCATAGTTCTCAAGTTAATATGCAACATAATTCTCCAACTCTTCTCTCACCGACGCACACTGATCCCAAATCAAGAAATTATGGAATTAGGGTCAAAATTCAACGAATCGATCTGATTTTTTTCTGCTTACGCAATTATAAATAACTTTATTATAAGCAATTTTGTAAAATATGGCCTACTTTTTAAGAAAAAAATTATTATTTTTTTTATATGGAGAAAACCCCATTTTTAGAATTTTAAAGCGCACTTACCACGGATCCGAAATGCGGCTTATGGCACATTGTTGAGGGTATTACTGTCCACAATTTCTCTTTAGACACCTATTATATAAGTCTACGACCCTAAAAAATACAGATACTTAAAAAAAATTTTATCAGCAATATTAAAATTTAAGGCATAGGGTTAATTACAGTAAATAACAGAATAAACTATAAATTTAGACTATCTTTGGATTTGAATCCGGTGAAGATTCGTTTTACTTTGTGTACGGATATGTCTCGTGGAGATTTTGAAATTTTTTTTAACCGCTTAAGTTTCTGCCGTCAGACACATAGGTATGTATGCATTTTAAAATACAGGTAGTTTCTATGTAAGTCGGTATATCATAAAATACACTAACAGCCGTATTCTAACAAAGTCACAAACTTTAGCTCATCACTGCTGTGATTTCTACTGCGCCTCAAAGCTTGCCGCTTCAAAAAATATGCCGCTACAATACAAATTTTTAAATTTTTGTGTATTTTTCCAGCACTCAAAATCGATTTTTTTCTGACACATTTCTCGGCGCACTAGAAATCACAACAGTGATGAGGAAAGTTTTGTGACTCTGTTAGAATAGAGGGGTAAGCATAATATAATCTATGGCCTTCAAATAGTTACACAGAATAAAAAAAAATACCAATCGAGCCTTGGTTTCACAATTTCCTTGAAAAGGCGAGCAAATGCTTTAGTGTGCAAATACCTTTTTGCCTGAAGTTCTACGAGTATGTTGAGATCTTGTTTTTACCTCTCTCTCTACATACCCTTTGTTTATTTACCATAGGCCCCTATTGCGAGTGTCGACTGGCAGTAGAATAGAAATTTGTCGATCGAGTCGATCATCTTTTATTTTGCTATTGTGTAACTTGATCGATAAAAATTTGTACTATTGTGAATGGTTGACAGAATTGTAAACAGCTGTTTGTTTGTTTACATTTGTTTCTTGAGTGTTTTATTTACATCATTTTTAAAATAATTGCTTTTATTATAAAATTTAAAAAATGGACACAGTTGAAATATGGTTTAGTGATGAGGAAGATGATGCGGAAGGTAATAGATTAGTAGAGTTAGCTAAAGCAAGGAGGGAATTGCGAGATTCGTCGGATCCCTTGGACTTTGAAGGTGTATGTACACGTGTGAGTTTTATGAATAGAAGTTGCGTTCCCGATGTTTCACAGTTTTTAGGCTTTACATGATTTGCAGGAAAAGCTGTTTTCCTCATTAAGTTTAAGAAATACGGTACGGTTAAGTTTTTTGTGCAATGATGTTGGGTTTTTGTGTCCAAACGCGTGACCCGATTTTAAAAATTTTAACATAACAACAACAAGTGTATTGAAAGAATTCAACTTTAATTTAAAATAAAGATTTCAAATTTCCGAGCACTAATCAATTAATAAATTATGCAGTTTTTTTGTATAAACTTTTGATGTTGGTTCTGCGCAAAAACACTGTGGATGGCGTAGCCGGAGTTATATGCACAAGAAATATTGTATATGTATCTTTTCCAATAGAAGCGCAGCTTCCTACCCTACTCGTTCCGGAAATTCCTTTGCCTATGTCTTCACTCT